TGAGATTTCCTGCTGTTTTTTCTATCAGAAACCGAAGTACTATTGAGGGTCAAATTTGGAGCTCCAAATCTGCAAATGAATCAGGTTACTTTCAGAAAATTGGGTTTCGTAGTTATAATGAAATGTTGATAGATCCTTCTCGAATCAAATATGAATATACTGAGGTTGGAACACAAAGTTCATGCCCTCGAAGCAAGAATGTTTATGACAAGGAAAAGACATACCCTTCTGAGAATTCATCAGACATGAGGTTTGATTTGTCCTTGAAGAACAGCGAAGATCAGATTGCAAGGGGTTATGCATCGCCATTCTTTTATGGTCAGCATTTTTATCAGAATAATGTAAACGTTTCTCTGTCCGGGCAAACAGAATCTGCAGTTCCAATGCCCACATATCGAAATGGTCTGCTGAACATTAGCTATAGGATAAGTTTCAGCGCTGATAATGATTTCAAGATAGCTGGGCAAAACTTTTCATCAAAACAAGTGGAGATTTCTGCTGAAGGATTATACGACAAGAACACTGGTTCTTTGTGTATGACAGGATGCTGGCAACGAGAGGTGATTAAGAATCGTACACTGGACTGTGAAATTGTTGTCAAAGTCCAATTTCCACCTCTAGATGCAAGTGGGATGGATCGTTTTAAGGGAACCATTGAAAGCAAAAGGCCAAAGTCGGATCCTTTCTATTTTGATAATCTGGTGTTGTCTTCAGTTTCAATTTATAATAACCAAGCTGAAGAATCCATATGGAGAATGGGCCTTGAGATCACTATGGTTCTGGTTTCCGATACCTTTGCATGTCTTTTCGTTGTCTTGCAACTCTTTTATGTAAATAAACATCCAGAGGTGCTTCCATTCGTTTCTGTCTTGATGGTTGTGATTATGTGTTTGGGACATATGATTCCTCTTCTGCTGAACTTTGAAGCTTTGTTTGCAGCAAACCGTAATCAGCAGAGTGTGTTTCTTGGCAGTGGGGGATGGCTTGAAGTGAATGAAGTAATCGTTAGAGTAGTAACGATGGTGGCTTTCCTTCTGCAGTTACGTCTTCTTCAGCTCACTTGGTCGTCACGACAGGACAATAGAAGTGAGAAAGACTTGTGGGATTCCGAGATAAAACTTACTTATCTGACTCTACCATTATATGCACTTGGCATTTTGATTGCTTGGCTCGTTTATAAGTGGAAGGATTCGAGCTCATACATGCCATTTTTGCAACCAATGTATGCACGATATCGATCTTATCCTACTCGAAAACTCCCGTACCAGCAAAACTCTTTCTGGGAGATCCTCAAATCACTTGGAGGTTTAGTCTTAGATGGTTTTCTGATCCCACAGATCATATTCAACTTGATACTTGATTCTAAAGAAAGGGCTCTAGCCTTCTCCTTCTATATGGGAACCACATTTGTTCGTCTACTGCCTCATGCTTATGACCTTTACAGGGCTCATCATTCCAGCTGGTACCTTGGATTATCATACATATATGCGAATCACAAACTAGACTTCTATTCCACTTCCTGGGACATCATCATCCCTTGCAGTGTTCTTGTATTAGCTCTTATCATATTTTTGCAGCAGCGCTTTGGTGGTCGATGCATGCTTCCAAGAGTACTTCGTAAACAGGGTCCTTCATATGATCAACTGCCAACCATAAGCAACGAGGAATTGTAAGATAAGACAGTTTGTATTTTGATTATTGCAAAGCTTCCCTTGGGTTTTGAATCATACACAGAAATAGCAAGTTTTCTCAATTTCTTTCTTTGATATATCTTGCCTGACTTGTATTTGATCGACTGGAGAAAAAACTGATCATGTCACTTTAAGGTAAATGATATAAAGAAAAGGTATTGGATGGTGCTATTCCTTTTATTGATTTTTACCATTTGGCAGAAGCTCCTGGCCCTCAGTCTATGCGTTCTCGCACAAACCTCTGAATGCATATATTGTCTCTCCAAGAAACTCATTTCAATTACTCAATTCACTGGATCTTGAACAACATGGAAGTCAAAATTCAATAGTCATACAATAGAATACAAAATCATGAAGGATGTCAGGGTGCGCAGGTAGAGGAAAGTTCTATCAGAACTAGTTTTCAATAAAATACAGTAACCAGCTTGAGGACTTAATTAGTGCATGGGCTACTACAATAAATATGAACAGTATGTACAAATCTTGAATGTCGAGGAATTCCTGTGTCCTTCCCTGTGAAACACCAGAGGCTCGATTTCATTGAATACAGTACACATCTGGTGTGAAACCGTTGAATGCGGTGGCTCTCAGAAATGCATCAACAATAAAAGCTCGAAGATCTGAGATATTGAGGACGGCTGAATAAGACTCCGATTACAAAATGCATTTGTAGAACCTCATAACATGAAACACAAAGCAATCGTGGTGGAGTCTAATAAGTTGCTGAAATTCAGGATGAAGTGCCATGATATGAACTTAAATACAGAATCAACACTAGATACAGGACACAACCAACCAAACTTATAATTCAACAAATCCATAAAACTCCAAGTGAATGATATCTACAACAAAATACCATCGAAGAAAAAAAGAGGAAGCATGCAGACGACTGCCTTACACTCGAAAAACTAAAAGAATAGACTGCCCATAGTAATTGAACGGTATTCCACATTTCCACTTGTTTGCAAGTGGGTCATATTTTTGTTTAGTTTCTAGAAAAGATTGAAAAGGGGAGTACCTGAATTCACATTTCATATAGTCTTTTTGCCAGCAATGATACGAGATATTTGGAGGCCTCTGCTGAAGGCTTCATTAAATAAGATTCTTGTTTGCATTGACTGGAAACCAGGCAACCATGAGAGCAGTGCCAAAGGGGCCATGACAATCATTCCAAACAGTAGATCATACAACCGGGCCGATGAAACAACAGTATCCCACACGACAGTGGTTTGCAGAAAAGGTCTTAGCACCTGAGCAATTGATATTATGCCCCAGCCGGTGGGAATGAATGCCAAGAGACACGTAACAAGATCGCCCATGTTAAAGGGTGTGAACTCCATCAATATAACAATCACCAGTACTATAACCACAATGACTATTAATTGAACCAATCGATAATAGATATGCTCCTTCGCAGCATACTTGTCCTGAGCATATGCTATGACAATATAAATCCCAACAAGAACAATCATGGATACCCAGGAAATAAAATAGACAGCAATACTGGTGTTGTTACCAGTAATGTTAAGGTGATATACAATTGCGTATTGGAAGAAGAAGAAACGAAGATCCAAAATGATCTCTAGAAGTTTTCCCCACAGACCCGTTGTTCTCAGATGGCTGTTCTCCTCTAGCCACCATGCTTCCCAGCTCTGTTCTGCTTTTGTGAACACTCCACCAGTATTCCATAACCAATTAATAAAATCATCAAAGTCGTAAACTGTTTTTAACCAATCAAATCCAGAAGGATTAAATATGAAGGGGGCCATTATCCATGAAACTATGAGAAACCAGCTAGAGATTGACAAAATGACAAAAGTAAAAGTACTTTTAGCCAGAGGGCTCCGGGAAGCATACACTATTAAAATAACCCCAAGCTCAATTGCCTTCACAAAATGACTTCGAGCATATAGTCTGTAGTTTTCTGCAAAGCTCTTGTGCTGCACCACGAACCCACGACCTGTCGCTCGATACTTAGCTCCACCATGAAGAATAGTGCGTCCAAAGAAGTGGGTGCGAGTTCCCAAAGAGAAAGTGTAAAAAAATGACGCTAGCTGCAACTGCATTGTCAAGAAGTTCCAAATAGCTGGAAGAAACCCGTGCTCTAGGCTGTTCTCCACAATCATTGGTAGTGCTGTGAAAAGACCAAGTTGGATTATAAACTGCTGATTCAGTATTGCTCCAAGGGCCCTATTGTTTCCAGAACTTGATGCTACTGCTGCATCCTCAACCCCACTAAGTGCAAGATAAAGTCGGCCCCATAAAAATACAAAAACAGACAATACTACAAGCATTGTGTTGAAATAGTACCCAACAGTTGTGTAGAAAACTGAAAGCATTCGAAAGAAATCCAATCTATGACCCAGCCGGTATACATCCCTGCTCAAAACCTGCTCACCATTGCCACTGGCCACCTTGGCCTCAAACATAGAGATTTGATTAAAGCCAACATCTCTTCCTTTGCCCACCTGTATATATTCATGGTGTGTCACATTGCCCCCTCTAAGCGTGCAATTGAAGCCAGCAAAGATATCCTCACTAATGTTGATCACTCTGGAAGCCTTGCTGATTCCACCACGAGTCAGAAACCAGAATCTGTCAAATACATCAGGGTGGCCATAATGCATTCTAACCTTTAAAGGGTTTGCCAGAACTCTCTGTGCTAGAGTCACAAAGCTAGTCTCTTGTGCGGACATGAACCATGCAAGAGAGGACACTGAGCCAGTGAAGACATTCTCACGAACACCTAAGATGGTTGGCTTCCTAATACCATAAGAGTTCTTAAATTCTTCCAATAAATTCCGCATCTTGAGTGCTTCCTCAAAATAATTCTCTTGGTTCATGTCAATGGTCTGAATTGCATCCCCCCGTGTAAAGATAATTGCATGGTTCTGATTTTCTGGTTTCCCTTCTCCAATCTTCAAAGGACCAGGTAACCTAATTCGATAAATCACAACTTCCTTCTGTAGCTCTTGATCATACTTAACAAGGACAGAGTAAAATTCAACCTCATCTCTCCCACGATGAACTTCATCAACATAGGCAACTCTAAGGGCTTCATTTTCCTTCATCAAATTTAAGATCTCCTCCGCACGAGAGTCTCTTTTAGCCTTTTGTAGCCCATAAACTTGGCAGGTAACCACATAGGTGAATTTCATGAGGGCGGTCCCATACTCATATCCTCTAAATAACAATTCTCCAGAAGTCGATCTATTCAAATTCCTGAAAGGAGGTTGTGTTGAACGTAAACCATCCAAGGCATGCTTTCGGGTTATTGAACCATGTGAAGCAATCTCTTGTGATCCCATTCTAATATCCACCTCAGATGCAGTATCTAGAAATGAGAACATTTTTAGTGCTCTATGATAATACATCATTCCCCTAACAGTTCGAGATAAAGTCTGACCCCTATATGATGCCCAAAGACGAAGGTCCCTCGACTTTTTCGTCCATATGTCATCCTCATGCTCCAAACCCTCTTTACGCATTCGCTCCATAAAATTCCTCCACTCATCTTCGTAGATTCTCTGCAGATAGAACAAAGTCGAAACACCATCCTCATTCTCACTTCGTAACATTTCTTTGCCATACACAACTTCTTCATCGTAGTAAGGGGTCAGAACACTGAAAGGCATCATTTTTTCTACATATGGAGCACGGGGTATGTTCATAAAAAGTGAATTGCTAAAGAAAGCTAGTCGTCTTCTAGCCTCGAGATTGGAAGGGACGCCATGCATAGAGTCTCTAGATGTAAGAATTGTATGCAAACGCTGGACATTCCTATAAAACATTTTGTCCTCTAAATCAGGAAACTCAACTGCCTTCACAAAGAGCAATCCTTCATCAGTGGCTGGATTACGAGGCACCAATCCTTCTTCTCTCAACTGCTTGGTGGATTTCTTCAATCTTGGGAACTCTCTAATGGAAAGTTCATACAAGGCCTGCAATATATTCACTGCCTTGCTCAAATCTTTCTTAGTTCCAATTAGAAGATCAAGAAGTGAAATTAACTTGGTGTGAATTTCTGGGAGCACATTTGAGTTGTATGCATCTAGGAACTTCCCCAGTCCAATAACGTTATCTATGTCCATAAATAATTTTGCAACAATTGAGTTTTCTTCTGAACCATATTTAACAATAGTCAAAAGCACGGCCTTCACACTATCATATGCTTCAATTACAGCACATCTCTGATACTCATTCTTGCATATCTTTGACCAAAGATCCTCGTCAGGTTTATTTGCAAGCTCTGTTGCCTGACTGAGAGCAAGGAGCAGTTCGTTGCAAAGGAGGAAGCATGGCCAACGGATTACCCTAATGTTCCAACAATTAGGTGGAAGCTCCAATAGATCAAAATCTCTATCACTAATGAGATCTTCTTCCCTCATAGTTATAATAATCTCATTCCAAATCAAAGCAAACTTGGTAGTATCTATCCTGCTTGATTCAATCTTTTTGTAAGGTTGGCCAAGTCCATATCTTAGCTTCAATCGGTGGATGGCATCACGAATTTTCTTCAGACGTGTCATTTTAGGCGTGAGCTGTTGTACCTCTGGCATGAGACTAAATTGCATTGCACTGGCAAAGAATTGAAATCTAAGGCTTAACTGACCAATGTTCCGAATCTCACCCAAATGCAAAAACAACCCAACTGTAGCACCAACAAGCGATGAGAAGATAGTATACCAAATCTGCAAATCCATAAGATATATTAGCACAACGGGAGTCCATAACAACACAACAGCTACAACATTGGTGCTACCAAAAAATTCATGCCATTTATAAGGACCCTTGAGGTTCAAAAGTCCCTTGGTTGGACCAACAAGGGGCTGAATCTGAAAGAAGTAACTAAACGCAAATTTGGCAGCCAATACTGCTACCCAGAAAATCGAGTACTTGATATTATCTATAAGCCCTTCACGCAAGCCACGCCCAATAAACATTCGAGTATGAAACCACCATGTAAATATATACAACACTTTCCAATCTAATTCCTCGAGTCCATTCCTAATCCATGGAAGAACGAAGAGTAACAAAGCCAGCATCTCAGGGATGAGAAAAGCAAATACTGCCCGAAGAAAAATAAAAATCTCCCCATTTGCCTCATCTGACCAAAAGCCATCCGATTTCTTCCGACTCCAAATCCGCGCATAAAATATGGAAAAAACTATAATCCAAGCAATGGCAGCCAAACCCTTCAGCAGCATTCTGACTCCTAGCCACATGGTTTCCCTCGAAACCAAACTATACTGTGTTCCAGCATCGAGCACAGCCTGAAACAACCGCAGACCGCTCCAAGTGATGAAGACAGTGAGTAACTCCACCTGCACATCCCTACTCTTCAAAGCTATCCATGGATACTGTTGTCCCTGCCAAGCAACAATGATAGAAGCTTGTAAAAACAACAGTAACAATATCCAAATCTTGTCAAAGCTCCTAAATATGTTCCAAAACGATCTCTGCTCCACATAACCTGTCTTCCCCACTCGCCTGTTTTTAGGTGTCGTGGCAAAGAAATTACTACTTAAATTCAATGGCCACCCGAGACTTCGGAAACACCTCCTACTCCAGAAATATTCGTTGATATCGTCGTAATTTCTCCATGCCGAGTGTGGTGCTGAACCATTTCTGCTACTCTCCACCTCGGTCTTAATGGTCTTGTAAATGGGCATTACTACACTCTTCAAAAATGCACAGTCTCCATGAATCGCAGGCGAATATGGCCTACCCGTGTCAGGGTCTATGTAATCGTCGAGAATCTGGTTTAGTTCCATGGCCATAAAATGATAGATATAACATAAACATTCAGGAGCAAATCGAAGATTAGCAGCCTCTCCCCAGATTAAAAGGTAAAGTGACACATACAGCAGTTCTCGACGGCCCTCACTCTTGTCCCGGCTTGAAAGCCGTACATTGGACTTCCGGCCTAAATAGGAGCACCACAAAGTATAGTTGCGAAGAAGCTTCTTGCGAAAGTTGCGAAGCACCGTACGGTCGAGTTCATCCGGCCGTTCAGGAGAGGAGCGAAGCCGCATTTGGGAATTAGCAAGGTGGAGGACCAGATGTTCGCGTTGGTTCCGAACGTTATCGTCCTGAAACCCGAAGAAGAGCCCAAGCCAGTCCAAAAGATCGTACTTAGGGTTCCATGGAACAAACGAAGGCCTCCTCAGTTCCCCTACAGTGCGTAAGGCGGCGGCGGCGGCGCGTACCTCCGGCGACTGAAGAGAAGGATGGTCAGTGAGAAGATCGTGAATAGGGATTATGTTGTACGGCTCCACCGGCGGCGGCGGCGCGTTTTGAAATCCACCACGACCCACCGGTTGAGGACGCTGCCTCAGATTCATGATAGCGAAACTCTAATTTCTCCTTTCAAAGTTCCTTCAATTTCCGATAAGCATAGGCTTTCATTATCAGCTTCCTCAATGCGCCGTGACAGTGAAAACCGCCAGTGGATGAAGAGACGACGGCGAGTTTTTGGGCGACCACCGTATAAAAGATTAGCAGAAGGATTAGCTTATGTACTACCTCGAGCAAAGAGAAAAGGGTCGGAAGTGGGAGAAAGAAATGCTAAAAGAGGAAGAACTTCCCTTTTTCCTCGTCGTGTCGTGCTCGTAAATTATTTCTCTCTGCAGAAATCTAATAAGAAAAATGAAACTTTTTAAAGAATAAATAAAAAGGTAATTATCTTTCTTTTCATGCCCAATAAATACGAGAATTATCAATCAATTTCAAATATATATTTATTGCTTTATTGTATTTATAATAATTCCATTTTACCAATTTTATTTTAAAACGTTAATCTCAAGTAAAACATCATTTGAAAAATTAACCCCAAATGATAATTTTATTGGTTATAGTAAATATTTTTAACTCATAAATAAAATATTTATTATTTGTAACTTTTTTTTTTTTTTTTTTTTTTTTTTTTTTTTTTTTTTTTTTTTTTTTTTTTTTTTTTTTTTTTTTTTTTTTTTTTTTTTTTTTTTTTTTTTTTTTTTTTTTTTTTTTGTTATTGAAACTTCCAAATCTCGACTCTAAATTATTTATTTAAAAAGAAAGTTGTTACGATTCTCATCTTATATTATTTAAAGAAACGACAAAATTTATAATTCATAGGATACTTTTTTTAAATTTTATATATATATCAATTGTAATAATATTACTTTTGAAAATTACTTTTTCACCTTTTGGGTGAAAAAGGAAATTCTGACAGGATGCCAAAAGGGCAAGGTGGAGGAACGTATATTCCGTTTCAAATACTTTCAAAAAGTATTCACTCACACACGCGCTATCCGCACGCGTGGAAGTACTGCTGAGGTGCGGGACCCACGTCAGTCATTAAAAACGACAATACGTTTTTTTTTTCTTCCATTTTTTAAAAAAATTTAAGCAAACGGTTATTTATTTATTTATTGGCAATTTGATTGATAAGGTGTTACGAATTTAAGATGAAAGCTTTAGTTTCAGAAATGACACAGACGCGCGAAAAGGCAAGCGTTCGTCCCACGTGCAAGGGTCGCAATTTTGTTCGTTTATTACTGTTCACAAAATGAAGCCACCTTTTTTTTTATTATTATTATTATCATATTATTCTCATTCATATTCTTTATAAAGTCGAGTTGGCAAATTGATCGATCTATAACATCTTAATATCCAATCAAATCATCTCGATTTTATGCATCTAGCCATGTTCGACAAGCACATCCCCAGCTATACATCTTTGCAATCTAATATTCTGATAGTAGATGAGAAATATATCGAAAAAGTATCATATCTCCAACATTTTTTTGCAACCTTTCAAAAATCTCTCTAACTTCTGTTTTCTAAAACATTCTCTTCAAAACTCAGAGTCAAAGGCTTGAGCATCTTGGGTCATCGTAAGCACGAGAATCTAAATTTACTCAACTCACTTGATGTTAGGAGAGAGTACTGTATAAGAATTTGTTACCAAACAAAGTGTAATTGGAACGGAATGACATTATAATTTCCAAGAATGTCCAAAGGTTACATTAATTAGAGATTAGTTAATGAGTTGTTTATTGTTAACGGTTGGATTTTCATAGATAAGGGAGATGAATGTTATGTCCGTTCATATCATTACCCAAAGCTTTAAATATGTCTAAGAGAAAAATAATAATACTAATAAAGAAGTAAATCCAATTAATTATAAATTAGAAGGAATATATATATATATATATTTTATTATATTATTCAAATTTCAAACCATTCATCTCTGAAGTCTTGGTTGTCTATTAAATACTAATTTATAAGTATGAATATTAAATATAAACTAAAATTATATGACATCCTATAAGTATTTAAATAATAATAACATTAAAAATGATTTAAGGATTGATTTGATTTTTATATATTTAATGTAATATGTGTGTTTTACAATAATAATTATATTTAATTAATTAATTATAAAGAACAAATCGATGTAAGCATAAACTAAATACGGTATTATTTAATATATTATTGCATTATTTAACTAATTAATCAATAAAATAAAAATAAATAAATATTAGTACACTAAAAATTAATTAAAAAGTATCGATAAATAAACAATTTAACGTAATTCCAAAACTGATGTACTTTTATTTATTTAATCTCACCATCACTAATAATTCACAACCAAGAAAAAACCAATCACATGGATGAGTGTTCCTCCATACCTGTGAAATGATTTTATTTATTTATTTATTTATTTATTTATTTATTTATTTATTTTTTATTATTATTATTATTATTATTATTATTATTATTATTATTATTATTATTATTATTATTATTATCCTCTCAAAACCCGCTCCCAAAAGTGGGCCGAGAAAGGAATTGAGAAGTTGGTGCGCCAATAGTTCGCATCAGCGCGGGACGCCCAACGCCATAGTGGTACACAAACAGTACTCCCATGCCATAGAAGAGCATGATCAGTTCATAGCCGACTGATCGAGAGAATGGAAATCCATGAAATCGAGAAAGACGAAGATGACGGACCTCCTCCTGGATGGGAACCCATCACCCCACCGTTGCCGCAACAGCCGCCGCAGCCACTTTCTTGTGAGTGCTTCCGAGTTTAATTTCAGATTTTGCGATGAGTATATTTCGTCTACAATTCGGTCCGGTATCCTTCTGATGCCTATTCGTTAGTTGGCCCGTCCTGAAATCGAAGGAATTATTTGTTTATATGGATTATAAGTTGTCGTCTCTCTCTCTCGAATTACTTTCTCCTACTCAAATTTAGTTCTCTTTTTGTCTTTCAAAACTAATTGTGTTTGCGAATCTTCGTCTTGGTTATTTCATGTCTCTAATTATTTCCCATCACTGGCTATTTATACATCTGATTGAGCTTCTGACGTGAGCGAATCGATAGGTGGATTCTTCCCATAGCTTATAACGGTGAATAAGTTGTCCAATTCAATTCTTTGCAGTGTGCTTTATTAATCTATTGAAACAGTTGTAGTTCACCCCTAGTTTCAGTTCATGGAATCAACAAAAGCGCATAGAAATTAGAGCATTCTTGTTAGCATGTTTTATTGGAAGTCCCAAATATTGTCAATGTATGCATTTAAAATCTTGTCAATGGAGACGTTTTGATCTGCAGCTGATATGGCCCAAATGGTTTGTGGTACCTGCCGTCGCCTGCTTAAGTATTTGAAGGGAGCTAGATATGTTCAGTGCTCTTGCTGTTCAACAGTCAACTATGTGCTAGAAGGTTCCTTCTCTTTTCCTTCAGTCTTTTTAGTTTTTACTATTATTTTCTTCCTTGAAAGTTGTCTTGTTCATATGCTGTTAGCTTTTTCCTAATCTTTAAGAAGAATCCCACCTATGTTGGTTTCGAAGTACCATTAGCACTTCCCAAACTTTATGCTCTTCAAATCTGTTTTCTTCCTACTGGGTCCTCTTTCATTAGAGGGTCAAGTTTTCGGCAGCATTTTTGAATATCTGTTTCTTGTAGTAGTGCTCGGTGGTGCCTGTATACCACATTCTGAGCTATATGTAATATTTGAGGGAATTGGTTATAGAGATAAATGAATTGCATTACGTGATTGTGCCTGGGCCTCTAAGCATCTATGTGATGTCTCATATTGGTTGGAGAGGAAAACAAACCACCATTTATAAGGGTGTGAAAACCTTCCCCTAGCAGACACGTTTTAAAGCCTTGAGGGGAAGCCCAAAAAGGACAATATCTGCTAGCAGTGGATCTGAGCCGTTACAAATGGTATCAGAGCCAGACACTGGATGATGTGCCAGCCTTCTCGCTGTTTCCCGAAGGGGGTAGACATGAGGCGGTGTGCTAGGAATGACGCTAGCCTCAAAGGGGGTGGATTGTGATGTCCCACATTGGTTGGGGAGGAGAGCAAACCACCATTTATGAGGGTGTGGAAACCTTCCCCTGGCAGGCGCGTTTTAAAGCCTTAAGGGGAAGCCCGAAAGGAAAGCTCAAAGAGGACAATATCTGCTAGTGGTGGATCTGGGCCGTTACAATCTATCTTCTACATAAAACCAAATGTTGTAGGTTCTACGATATTTCTCAACTGGGTTATAGATGATTTATGTGAGATCCCACATCGGTTGGAGAGGAGAACGAAACATTCTTTATAAGGGTATGGAAACCTCTCTTTGGCAGATGCGTTTTAAAAATCTCGAGAGGAAGCCTGAAAATGAAAGCGCAAAGAGGACAATATTTGCTAGTGGTGGGCTTGGACTCTTACATAAAGGTGTGGAAACCTCTCCCTAGCAGATGCGTTTTAAAAATCTTGAGGGGAAGCCCGAAAATGAAAACGCAAAGAGGACAATATCTGCCAGCGATGGGCTTGGACTCTTACACTGCTGGTCAATTGAAAGCGCAAAGAAGACAATATCTGCTAGCGGTGGGCTTGGACTCTTACATAAAGATGTGGAAACCTCTCCCTGGCAGATGCGTTTTAAAAATCTTGAGGGGAAGCCCGAAAATGAAAGCGCAAAGAGGACAATATCTGCCAGCGGTGGGCTTGGACTCTTACACAGCTGGTTAATTGAAAGCGCAAAGAGGACAATATCTGCTAGCGGTGGGCTTGGACTCTTACATAAGGGTGTGGAAACCTCTCCCCCTGGCAGATGCGTTTTAAAAATCTTGAGGGGAAGCCCGAAAATGAAAGCGCAAAGAGGACAATATCTGCCAGCGGTGGGCTTGGACTCTCACACTGCTGGTCAATTTTCTCTTCCTCGAATTGGGAACAGGGGATGTAACCGGAATGTATTGTAAAAAAAAATGAAATTCATGTTTAGAAGAAACGTACTTGAGCAAAAATGATTTGCCAGTTCACGTCGTCCCTGAGCCCCAGATTTCTTGATCTAGTTTGTTGTTTTTTCATGATTCACTATATTAACTTAATAGATTCAGTCTTTCTAACGACTTTCCGTCAAAGTCTTATAATACCATTTTTCCTTGTGTTAACGCCTGTACATTCTCTTTCTAGCGCACGAAGTTGGACAAGTGAAATGTGGTTCTTGTGCAGTGTTGCTTATGTACCCGTATGGAGCATCATCAGTTAGGTGTTCCTCGTGTACTTGTGTGACAGAAATTGGGGTATGTCAATCCACTTTCTGGCAAAGTTATTGCTTGGAATATGCTTAGATATGTACAGTACAGTCTCAATCTTTCTGGTTGTCTCATTCATTCACTATGTTGAAGCACGATTTGCTGGAAACTAGATGTTTCTTTAGTCATTGGGTGCGAAATTTATGCCCTTTCAAAAATGAACACAGAAGCATAAAGCATGGATGTGGTGAAATTACTCCTTTGCATCAGTCCATGTGTTGGCAATTATATAACTGCTGTAATTTTCATTGCCAAGAAGCATGGAGCAGGAATTATATGTGAGATTCTACATCGGTTGGAGGGAGAGGGAAATGAAACACTCTTTATAAGGGTGTGAAAATCTCTCTCTAACAGAAAGGGGTCATTTTAGACCATATTTACAAAATTTTGACATACAATTAAAAAAAAAAAGTCCCTTTTTTAAAGTACGAAGATCAAAATGGACATTTTGTAAGTACATGAACCAGTTAGGAACCAAATTGAACCAAAACTGACCAAAGTAGTATTTGTATGTGTGTGGATCTTTATTATGCTTTTGTTGCGAGTTCTTCATATTCTATAGAAATAAGGGTGTTGGTTAGTGTAATTTGCACTGTTTCTTTGCTTTGGTGCTCGATTACTTCATTAATTGTATGAATGAGAAATCATGCCCATTAAATGTAGCCTCTGACGGATTTAAGTGGCTGTGCAGGTGCATAACAGACGCCCACCGTGGTCTGTTCAGCAGGGACAAGCAGCCCCTCCTACAAACTCTGTGCAGTAGAGTCTGTTCATGTATGATATAATTCTGCGTAGGAAAAGATGTGACATTTTGTGAAGTTTTCTTTTCCGTTGCAGCCTTAATCAGAACACAGAGAAGGAGATCAACATTATTATCACAGGCACTTTTATTTCTTTATTGAAAGAAACATAGGAACTGACCTTCCCAACTTCTAACGTGTTTTTATCTCAAGTTTGCCTTGTGACTTGACTTCCTGCTTATATTCATTTTCTATGCTGCTCATTGGATCCTTACTAGGTGCTGCCAACCTTTGAGATGTTCTTCATTGTAAATGATTATCTTACGAAGTTGAAGCAGCATTGAGGACTAAATTTTGTCTAAATTCTACAATTTTGGCTTTTCCTTAGCCGCAGGGTTTGGTTTTAATGAACGGCAAGTCGGGGACAAGTGTATTTGACTCGATCAGTGGTTTGTTTGGCACATAACTGAAATAAATTTGCTTGGTAGATGCAAGGTCGGACAATGGTGAATTGTTTTGAAGCATTTATGAAACTGTTTAGAAGCATTTATGAAAGGCAAATACAACTTCTCACAGTACATCAATATTTTTTAAACAAAAGAGAACATTTTTTATATATAAAATGTAACCAGGTTGAAAATGAAAAGAACTTTAGCATTCATTTGAGATCAGCTGAATTAAAGATGCATAGCGGCTATAGCCGGACGGCCAACAATAAAAGTTAAGAAAATGGCTTTTATGGCTCAATTTAGTATTTCAATTTACAATCTAGACTGTTAAGAGAAGTACCTACCCTCAAAAGATATATTGCCTGTACGAGAATGTATACTAGATAATTGCATCAAATTGTTTGACTGATTTAAGAGTACTAAAGAGAATTATTGAACGTTTTCATTAGAGCTCAACCCGTTAATACCTTCAATCATCAGTTGGGAAGTCCTCATCTGAACCAGTTTCTAGAAATGAACCAAGAGTCTTCCGCAAAAGGCTGAAAGTCCTATCATCCTGTGTTCCAGACCCAAGTGTATAATTAAGGTGCCCATTGGCATAGAAGGGGGAAGGCGTTTGTGCAAATTTTATGAATTACAGGTCGTATACCTGCTTTTTCCTTTTCAAAGACTCCTCCAATTGAGCAATCTTTTCAGCACAAGCTTTCTCTTGTTCAGATATCAGGCTCCTTTCTCTCTTTCCTGTCACAAATACGAACGGAAATAGATAATAATAAAGCGTTTGGTGCTGATTGATGCATAACTTCTTGCTTACTCAGTTGTTCATATTTTGCGAATAGCCTTTCTTTCTCCTCTTCAAATTTGGAAATGGTATCTGCCAAAGCCAAGCAGCATCCGAAATTGAAAACATAAACAGAAAAAGTGTGTGAGTGGGTTTTCTTAGAGCTAGAATGGTTTAAGATTATAGGCCCAGTGTCAATATACCAGAATATTTGCCAGATTGATAGTAGTTAACTAAAATAAACCTGTTATGTTCAACCAAAAAGTGAGGTTCTTCAATACCGATACACATGAGAAATATTTGCGGAAAGGATTCCAAGAAGGCAAACAGTATTGATGGAACACATCGTTGTTGAGGACCTAACTCCATGGTCAATGCTTCAATTGCCACTGATCAGCACGATGATGTCTCTCAGATACCGAGGATTCTTACAAAGGCATTGTACAGTTGATATTTGATAATGGAAAATTATACAGCATGATAGAGATTTGATCGTGCATTATAAAGGCATCGCACCAGTTGATATTTGATAAATAAAATGACAATTAGTCTAAACAGAATTAGGGAGAAAATAATGCGTAACTTTTCACCATAATACTCGAAGTGGATATTACCTTTCATGGCCTGGAGATGTGTCGCTTTCTCTTTTGTGAATTTCTCGTAAAGTGCTTGGAATTTGGCAGTTTCGTCCTTCAAACAGTTTTCACACTGCAACGAAGCCATATTGATTTTAACGCAACATCTGAAAGATTCATTAATACAATGAAACTAGAAGAAAAAAAAAATTATGCAATGACTTCAAATTTGCTCTTGAATGGTCTCTATTTCGAATCCTGTTCCCACCAACCTCTTTTGAGCTTTTCGATAGTGCTTTCGCAAAACTTTGCCTGAAATTGGTTGGAAGAAACAAATTGCTTTCATTCGCTTACAACTACTTCAACAAAAAATCTAAGCGAGCAACATCGTGAACTCGTTTCTGAAACCTACCTGTCCTTCTCAAATTTAGATTTCACCTCCTCAATCATTGTTCTTATCTCAGTCGATACACTGTCAATAAAATGCAATTAATTAACATTCAAACATCTTAATAGTGCAGGACAAGAAGAAGAGTATTAGCTCAGAAAATGAATGAACTCCTCTGTCGTTAAAAAGTGGAATGGATGGAAGTTGGAAAACGACCAAATGTTCGAATAGGAACGGTGAGACGGTTGAAGTCCAATCCAGTAAGCTAAGTTTGATCAGGTTATCATTTCAATTTTATAATAAATCAAATCAAGCACATTATAAAATTAAATTACCAGTGAGGTCAGTTCAAATCTACCAGAAGAAGGAAAGTGAAGGTGCAAACGAGCAGCCGTATATAGAAATTCGAGAATGGGAAATAAGCACACAACAACACACAATTTCAGTCGCTCCATTCACTTAACTAATCACCAATAAGTTCCAAACGAACAAAACCACTCAAATTACCTTGAGATAGTCTCTTCATTCTTCTTCTGATCGTCCTTCTGAGCTCTCTCTTTGATCTGATTCAGCGCGGACACTATCCCTTTGAGATCGCTGCATACCGTAAATATCACTGTCAAGGTTCTCCAGAATAACACTCGAAAATGGAACAGAAATGGAAAATAGTACGTACTCGGATAGATCGAGATCGAGATCGATATCTTCGTTGGTCCGCTTCCTTTTATCGGAGCTTGTGAGATCGGGGTCAGAGACTCGCTTCCTGGTTCTTGTTTTCGCAATAGGTATTTTCATGTTCCCCATCTGGATCGAAGTTGAAGAAAAGAGATCGAGAACCGTACTATTTCGAAGCGTTTGGAATTTTGAATTACCGATACTTATAAATATCCTGCCGAAGCGCGATTGCATTTGGCGCGCTGGTACCGGTTCCCTTGGCTGTCGATTCAAATTTTTTAAGGACCAATCATCCATGTCCACGTCAATACTTACAATAAATAATATATATATATATATATATATATATATATATATATATATATTATATGTATTTATTTAACTTGCAAATGGTGGATTGATCGATGATAATTGATATAGAAAACGGTTATTTTAGAGATTTATTAGAAATTTTTTTAAATTAAAAAAAATTAACATGTGTGACACTTTTAAAAAAAATATTACACACGAGTAATTTAGTTCTATCTATTATAAAAAAAAATAAAATAATAATAATAATAATTTCTTTAGAAAGGGACTTAGTGGAGTAGTCAACATTAAAATTTTTTAGAATATAATATATTATTCTAGATAAAAGTGTCTCAAATTGGTTAATTTAGGGAATGATCATGGACTTATAGGAAAGCCGAAAACAAAGCCTTTGTGGAGAGTTGTGTTCATGGTTTGCACTTTGAGTCTATAAACAAAAATTTAATTTTAAATTAATTAAAAGGCTTAATTATATGATAATTTAGTATAATTTTTGTATTAACATTTTTTTTTTGTGTGGATATTTTCTAATTTAAAATTGATTGGTTATAAATTTTGTAATAAATTGTTATGGTCCAGGAGGAAGAAAATTATTAAAAGCAAACCATTAATTTGCCTTAGGTTTGGGAGGGGGTCAATAATTTTGAGGAATGTTAATATTTAAAATGAGTGTTAATCGTATGCCTATGCTATATACGAATTCTTTCTTTTTATATTATGGTTTTATGTGGCCATGACCAACCCAACCATCACGTCTACTCTTTGTCCTAAGGAGGAGGAACTCTAAACAATAACAAGTAAGACGTGGTAAATGTTTTGTTGAAAAATGTATATTATAATGTTTATATATAACAAATTGAAAATTCACTTTCTTAAAATAAAAATAATAATAATAAAAAAATGAATTTCTTATAATACAAAAATGAAAAGCCATGAACTTCTTAAAAATAATATTATTTTTTATAAAACTAAAATATATTTTTGTCAACATTATTGAGTTTATTTATAATTCTACTCTTTTAATAATTGTATTCTATTTTAATAGACGTTGTGATTGTGATAATAATAGAGTGTACATTTACTTAGTATAATAAATTTGGAGTTTTAAACCTCCCACCTTGAAAAAATATTAAAAATCTGATATATAAAAAAAAAAAGGGATAATATAGAGTGTAAGCTAAATCAAATTTTAAATATAAAAACATATTTTAAAAAAATTATTTTTAAAATTTGATTAATTCTAATTCTTTTTAAAATTTAGGTCATACGTGTGTGCTCAAGAGTCAAAACTGTAACAAATCTTTGTTTTCTATGTTCGTGCAAGTTAGGTTTATTAACTTATTTAATCATGCTACTTACATCTAAACGTGTTAGGATAACTGTTTTCTTTCCTTTAAATTCTCAAAATCTCCTAACTAAGCACTATACACACATGGTTATGCCCTTTTTGTTGGTCAAGTAGTCCAATAAATTTGGACTTTTTCAATTGGTTCAGGTGGTCCAACTAAACTCGAACTTTTTCGAATTAAAAAAAAAAAAAATTGTTTGAGAATTCACAATTTAACACGACAAAATTTTCATCTTTAAGCCATTTGCCACATGAATCCACAATGTTATGTACGTTTGGGTCGTTTCTGTGAGATTTCATATCGGTTGGGGCGGAGAACAAAACATTATTTTAAGTGTGTGGAAACCTCTTCTTAGCAGACGCATTTTAAAAACTTTGAAGGAAAGTTCGAAAATGAATGTCCAAAGAGGACAATATCTGCTAGGGGTGGGTTGGGCCATTATAAATGGTATCAAAGCCAGACATTGGGCTATGTGACAGCAAGAACGCTGCTCTCGAAGGGGGATTGATTGTGGGGTCCCACATTGATTGGAGAAGGAAACGAGTGTTAGCGAGAACGTTGGGCCCCGAAAAAAGTGGATTGTGAGAACCCACATCGGTTGGGAGAGGAGAGCAAAACATTATTTTAAGGGTGTGGGAAACTTTCCTTAGTAAACATGTTTTAATAACCTTGAGGGGAAACTCGAAAAGGAAAGTCCAAAGAGGACAATATTTGCTAGCAATGAACTTGGGTCGTTATAATTTGCCCACTTTATCGCCCTATTCTTGCTCCCAAAATTTTGATTTATTTTTTATTTATTTAATTTGAATGTTACGTATAATTAGGTGATAAATATCTATACCACTACTAGACGAATAGGGTTGAAATACATGTACGAAAATTAGACATCTATATCACTACTTGACTGTAAGGCTGACATAAGTGGACGAAAATTTTCAACTTTTCAAACTTTTATATAAAACCTATATATGTTTTAGAATATTTTTATGTGTACTTATGGGTGTATGGTCAAATTGAATATAGCTCCTTTGTTAAAAATATTACTAAAAATTAATTAAATGGTTGATAGTTTGTACCTAAGGTTATAACGTTAGGGTTACTAATTTACTAATTCTTACTAAATGTTGAATTAGAATGAAATCCAATTAAAATTACTTAATTAAATCAAGATTTGAACGTAAAATATAATAAAAGTAATTTTACTTCGAATCAAAACATTTCATCATTTAGAAATCATCAAAAGCAACTTGACTACTAAAAACATTCATTTATCAAAAAATAATCTAAATTTTGTATATAATTAAATAAATATTTAACTTTAAAGGTTAAATAATTTTATTTACTTGTGATTTTTTTTTTAATATTTTTTTAAAAAAATCCTCCAATTTTATGCTTTATTTGAAATTATTATTTTTTAAATATTGAGAAGCTTAATAAATATGTTTATATTAAAATTAAATAATACGATTAATTTTTATTTTTGTTTTTTGTGGAGATTTGAATGTATGATGTTTAAGATAAAAATATATGTTTTATCTGTTTAATTTTTTAGAAATTAAATCATATTACTGAGATAACTATTCCTATCATAATTTGAATTTTAAAATAATAATATAAATTATAAGTTTCTTTATTATTTATTTATTTAATTTTTTAAATTTACGAATATATCAAACATAAAATAGAAGGTAATAGATAATACTTTCATCCTCTGTGGATATTACTGTAATTGCTGGCACAGAGTTAGTCGATACTTAGTTTTACAGATAACATCATTACTTCTTCTCTGATAAAAGAAGTTCAAGATATATAGGTTTTCTACCTCCACGTAGTATTGTCCCATCATGCTTTCGCCTAATGTGAAAATTTCTTTATTGCTACTTTGAGTAGGAGTTTGGGTGTCATTAGACATAAATTTTAATTTTATATTTAAAAGTAAATTAGTTTGAGAATTAAATGGATGAAAATTTAAAGAATAAGTTATAATTTAACCGAGAAAAATAACCATAGTTAAATTGGTGTGCTAGTATTTTGGATTGGGGCTAAAACTGCACGTGAAAAATACTCTGGCTGACGTCACGCAAGTCCCACCAGAACGAAAATGGGAAATTATTGAATTTCGTCTATAAATTGATGCCGTCTACGCCCGACCGAAGAGCACTGCTTTCCCTCTTTCTCCCCTCTGTCGTTTTCAGTATACAGGATACCAATTTCTCGAAGCTTTTCAAGTTCAGAGATCCCGCGCTGTGATCCTTCTTCTTCTTCTTCTTCTTCTTCGCTACGCCTCTCGGTAACAGATGAACCTCTTCTTTTTTTCTCTTTTTATTATCTTTTTGCTCTATAACACTTGTTCTTTGACGTTTACAACTGTGATTGATGTGTACGAATATGACTGGAAGCAAATTTAAATCTGCTGTGTTTCTTTGCAAGATGCTCCATATCTCTGCTTCTGAGTCATGAGTGTTTTGGGATTAAAATCAGAGGCCATTCTTTTTCTGTTTGTTCTGTTCAGTATATATTGTCGTCGTTCATCTGCATAGGGCTTAGGAATACGTCCTATTCCTGAATTTGTCTTGGCGGTGTTCTTTGTTGTATTTTCCAGTCGCCATTTAGTGTTGGAGAAGATGATCTTCGAATTTGTTTTCAGTCGATCAATCCATGAGTATTACACTCTGATTATAGATAGAGATCGCCCTCTCGTTCACATGTATGAAATTAGAACTCTGTTTTTTTATTTTATTTTTTTCTTTTTACTGTTTTAGTCTTTTCAGAAATCCGTTTCTCTAACTTTGAAGATCTCGTTTGATATTAGGAACAATTCTTGAATTCTAGGTGTTTGCATTGATATGTTTAGAGGAAGATCATCAGTTTTTAATTCAAATAATGACCTTTCGATTTTATCATTGTCATTAATAGAAATTTGACATTTATCTCATTTCAAAAAGAAAAAATTCATGGTGTTCTGAAGTCAATGGGTTGGTATTGAACTTTCAGATAAATTCAAGTTTTTATTAAATGTTTGACAAAAGAAAAAAAAAAAATTGCACAGACTTTTAGGAATGAATTTGTGAATTTAAAAGGGAAGAGATCAAATTATTATAAGTATAAAGTTGAAGACATTCTGCAGATATTAGCTTATAAATAAATCCTAACCAAATTAATTCTAATTAGTCAATAATGGCTTGAAGACAGAAACTTTTGATCTCATCAACATCTGAATAAGATTCTTGTGGTTCTGGCCTGGCCATCTGATCACATTTGTCATCATGGTTGGGCCATGACAAAGGCAAGACTGAAGGCAGTAGGATTGAACAGTTCCTTACATTATGAGTTATGACTCGTGCCAATCCCATCATCAAGGTATAAGAAAATGTAGCTACACAATTTTCTTATCTATGACCTTCGCGTTGGGGATTAAGACATGTTTTTCTTATTTATTTAACATTTTGCCAGTCGTTAGCTTCTCTTTGAGGCCATTTATGTTTTCTTTTGTTTGTTCTTGCGTCAACATTATGTTTTCTTGATTCTTTTTCTTTATATGATGTCTGTTGCAGATAAAATCCTGGTGTGAAGCAAATTTGTGAAAACCTTCTATATATGGCCTTTGAGCACTACTTTTCTCGTAGATGGAGGAGGTGTGTTCCAGCTTCTTCAATGGAAAATTCTGAGCAGTTTAAGGCTTGCTTTGACTGCAACATATGCTTAGAGTTTGCATCTGAGCCTATAGTTACTCTGTGTGGCCACCTCTATTGCTGGCCTTGCATCTACAAATGGCTTCACGTCCAGAGCGACTCCCTCCTCCCTGACGAGCCTCCGCAGTGCCCAGTTTGCAAGGCTGATATCTCCCACACGACAATGGTCCCTCTCTACGGCCGTGGTCAATCTGCTAAAGAGGCCGAGGTTGATCCCAGAGGGCTGCTCATACCTCCAAGACCATCAGCTTTCGGCAACAAGGTTCTGGCATCTATCGGGTCTAATAATGCTTCTGGTGAGCAGCTTGTTTATAGAGACCTATATCAATATCAAAACGACAATTTTGATATGTATGACAGTTATGAAGAGGACTCCAGCAGCTCATTGTTTAACCTGGAAGACAACCCGGTCGGCAGTTTTGGCCATCCTACAGCCAGGATGTTTGGAGAGACGGTGTATGCTAGGTTGTTTGGAAGTTCAGAGAGCTTACATGCACACCCAAATTCTTATGCTCTAACTGGGAGTGGCAGTCCCCAGTTGAGAATACAGGAGAAGTCGCTTAACAGGATATCAATTTTTCTCTTCTGTTGCTTCGTTTTGTGCCTTGCTATATTCTAATTATAGTTGTGGGCTTCTGTAATTTTTCGTTTGTAACCATTCTTGTAAAGGTACCGATACAGATTTTTTTTTTTTTTTTTTCTCCCTTTTTTCTTTCCCATTAACAAAAGTAAGAAGTTAAATTATGCACATTCCGTCAACACACCATGAGCGAAAAGTGAGTTAGCTCCAGCCCTCAACAAATTAACGACTTCCTCGGCTTCTTTCACATCTTGCTTGTTGCCAAACTTTCCTCGAGGTGATTCAGTCCTGATGGCTACAAAGCAGCTGTTTTCGTAGATATTATAGTTTTTGGTTTTTGTCTCAAACATTTTAAAAGCATTTGCAAGGATGAAGTTTCTAAAAACATGTATGTTAAGGAGAAGTTTTCACACTATTGTAAATAATGTTTTGTTTCTCTATTCAACCGATGTGGAATTTTACAATCCACTTTCTTCGAGGCCCAGTGTCTTTCTTGGCACACCGCACAGTGTCCACTCTCCTTCAAGGTTCAGCCTTTTCGCTGGTACATCGTTCGATGTCTACGCTAGTAAGTATTGTTCTTCTTGGGCTTTTCCTTTTAGGTTTCCTCTCAAGATAGTTAGGGAGAGATTTCTACATTTTAAAAAAAAAATGTTTAATTCCCGCTCCAATAGCGTGTGATTTCACTAGTTAATCCTTCTTATGTCTTTATTCTCACAATTTTGAAGGGCATAGCAGTTCAGAAATATAATCACCGTCCAGTTCGAATAGGTGCATCATCAACCAAAGCATCTTGTTGTTCATCTTCAAACTATTCTTGTCGTTCATCTTCAGACTCTTCTAACATGCTACCAAAGATTAAATTGTTTAGTGCATTAAAAATCTGATTCACCTTTGTCAGTTCTTCCAATTCCATTGCTCATTTTCAGCAAAATGAACATCTCGACTCACAATAACATGGCTAGTGTGTGGTTGAAAAACTTTGTAAGCTTTGGATATAGTGTTATACCCAACAAAGATGCCAACTTCTGACTTTTTGTCAAGCTTATCATGCTTGACTTGTGGAATGTAAGTGAAGCAAAGACACCCAAATACTCTAAGGAACTTTAAAGAAGGTTTGTAACCATACCAAACTTAAAATGGTGTCAGGTCCTTCACAGCTTTTGTTGAAATTCGATTTTGCAAGCACACAATAATGTTTGTTGCTTTTCCCTAAAAACGTTTTGGAAGAACCTTCTCATGAAGCATGCATCTCGTCATCTTCATTATGAATCTATTCCTCCTTTCACTGATGTCATTCTGTTGAGGAGTGTATGGTGTTTGTTAATTGACGTTCAATTCCAGCCTCTTCACAAAACCTGTTAAAAGTTTCTGAAGTATACTCATTGCTATTATCTGATCTTATAGTCTGAATAAGCATGCACCTTCATTCTCAACTTTGGCTTTGAATTTCCAAAATACACCCGCAACTTCTGACTTTTGCTTCAGTAAGAAGATCCAACACATTCTTATTATATCATCAATAAAAACAGTGTAATAAAGATTACCATTTAATGATGGTGTTCGCTGAGGACCACAAAGATCAGTATGAACCAATTGCAGTTTTTTCAAGGCTCTCCATGCCTGTTTAGGAAAGGGTTGTCTATGTTGCTTCCCAAGATTACAAGCACGGTAAGGAGGCATGTCATCATCAATGTCAGTGAGTCCTTCTACCAACTTTTTTTACTACATCTGAAGCAAACCTTGATGATGAAAATGTCTAAGTCTTTTGTGTCAAATCTCAGTGATACTAACTCTGGATATAAAGGCCGTTGGATTTAGAGCAAAGCTTTTTCCTTTCATTTTGACATTGAACAAGTTTTTGCCAACATCTTTGATCAAGCACTGCTTATTCTCAAACAACACTTTATAGCCTTCATAACTGGTTATAGCTACTGTGCCTTTTCCCTTGACTTCCAAGTGTTCACGATTGTCAATCCTCACTCTCTTATCTTCAGTGTCTCTTAATTCCTCAAAAAACTCCTTGTCATATGTCATGTGATTTGTGCACCCACTGTCAATCAACCAGCTCTCGCTTGATTCTTTGCCTGGGAAGAAGTGACCATAAACAATTGATCTTCTTCTTCTTGATCAACTACCTGTGCATCTACTTCTTTCATATGATCTTTGGTTTTGCATATCACAGCTTCATGTCCAAGTTGATTGCATTTGGAGCAGAAGGCCTCAGGTCTTCTCCAACACTTGTATGGTGGATGACCTTTCTTCTCACAATGGCGTCAAGGTGGATAGAAACCTCCTCCTTTTGTCTTCTGATAATTGGCATATGAATCTCCATACGTCAATTGATTTTTGAAATTTTTGTTGTTTTTATACCTGTTGCTGTCTTGATGCTTAACAAGTAAGGCACCTTCAATCACCCCTTCTTGCCTCATAGATCTCCTTTTGTTGTTTTTATACCTGCTGCTGTCTTGATGTTTAACAAGTAAGGCACCTTCAATCACCCCTTCTTGCCTCATAGACCTCCTTTGCTCTTGTGCTTGTAAAGCATTCAAGAGTTCTGTAAGAGAAATCTTTGACGTATCTTTGGTGTTCTCCAGAGTAGTAATGGTGGCTTCAAACTTCTCTGGAACAGTGACTAGCAGCTTTTCAACGATCCTGAAATCATTTAATGCAGCACCAAGCAATCTCACCTTGTTGGCGATACTGAGAAGTCTGTCAGAGTACTCTTTCACTGATTCTGACTCCTTCATTTTCTGCAACTCGAAATCTCTAATCAAATTCAAGACTTTCATTCCACGAATCCTCTTATCTCCTTCATATTCAGCCTTGACCGATTCTGACTCCTTCATCTTCTGCAACTCGAAATCCCTAATCAAATTCAGGACTTTCATTCCACAAATCCTCTCATCTCCTTCATATTCAGCCTTGAGATAATCCCAGATTTCTTTTGTTGTTTTGAGGGACATTATTCGCATCTCCTTCATATTCAGCCTTGAGATAATCCCAGATTTCTTTTGTTGTTTTGAGGGACATTATTCGCATGAAGATCATTTCAGATGCGGCATAATCTCTCTCTTTTGTTGTTTTGAGGAACATTATTCGCATGAAAATCATTTCAGATACAGCGACAAATAAGCAAGCTGATTTTCTTGTCTTCTTTTTCTTCTATACTTTGATTTGTGCTACAGTAGGATTTGCTGGAAGCGAAAGGACCTCGTAATCCTCTTTTATTGCTTCCCAAAGATCAAAGGTCTCCAAATAAGTCTCCATACGAACTGCCCTCGTAATCCTCTTCTATTGCTTCCCAAAGATCCAAGGCCTCCAAATAAGTCTCCATACGAACTGCCCTCGTAATCCTCTTCTATTGCTTCCCAAAGATCCAAGGCCTCCAAATAAGTCTTTTCTATTGTTTCTCAAAGATACAAGGCCTCCAAATAAGTCTCCATACGAACAGCCCACATTTGATAATACATTTGATAATTGAAGACAGACTGGTAAGTCTCCATAGACTGGTGGTGCAACAACTGAAAAAGACCTCGTAATCCTCTTCTATTGCTTCTCAAAGATCCAAGGCCTCCAAATAAGTCTCCATACGAATTCCCAAAGATCCAAGGATTCTCCTCCCATGTTGATCTCACAAATCCCTTAAGAAGATAGCTCTGATGCTAAGTTAGTCCACTTTGAACATAAGCTCTTATGGCTTTGCTTTGGCCTTCCCCAAGAGGTCTCGTACTAATGGAGATAATATTTCTCATTTACAAACCCATGATTTTCCACTAAATTAACCAATGTGGGACACTCACTCCCAATAATCCTCAACAATCCTCCCCTCGAACAAAGTACACTATCAGCCTCCTCTGAGGCTTATGGAGCTCTCGAATAGCCTCCCCGTAATCAAGGCTCGACTCCTTTCTCTGGAGCCCTCGAACAAAGTACACCCTTTGTTCGACACTTTAGTCACTTTTGACTACACCTTCGAGGCTCACAATTCTTTGTTCGATATTTGAGGATTTTATTGACATGGTTAAGTTTAGGGCATGACTCTGATACCAATTGTTAGTGAAATAGTGAGTAATTGAATGGTAGATGAGAAGATTGAATTATGAAGAGCAAGAATGCTCTATATAGAGAGAATACAAAAAGATATTTAGAAAATCTACCTAAAAATCAAAACTAAATCAAATCAAAAAACTAAATCTAACTCTTAACACGGAGATTTAATTAGATACTAACTGATAGCAATCTAAACAAAAAATACGTGATCTTTAACAGACGTTTTGTCAAATTATCAATAGATTTAGCTTGGAGAAATGTTAGGCACGCGGGTTTTCCATGCTAGGAAATCAGAAGCTCCTTCCTACATTCTTTCATTAAGTGAATTTGTTTGAGTAACTTCATTAATTCACGGAGTATGAACTACAGAGATTGAATTATGTCTATTCTTGCCTAATATGATCTGGAGTATGATTTCACTTACTAGGAAATTCTCTGTGGATAATGGCTAAATGGCTAGAACATTATATGAGCTAGAAGTACGTGAATTTGAATTTTTGGCACTTGGAAAGAAAGAACTGAAGCTAAGAGCATTGGCTGATTTTTTTTCTCACTATATCTTATAATTGATGTTGTCCATTAGCCAAATCTTGTTTGGTTTTCAATAATGCAAAAGTATGTTTATCAAATTCTTCGCATGAAAGGAGTAAAAGTAGCTGTTGTCACTTCCAAGTTTGGTGCTTTTGCTGTACTTGATCTTAGATTTTAGTTTGGTGGGTTGATGAAGTGTTGGTGAGTTGAGTACATGGTGCATGCAGGGATGATTTTGTGTTTCGTGAATAGGAAAAAAGGGATAAAATGGTTAATTAATGAAGATTAGGTAAGATAGTGAATTTAGACATTAAAAGTGAGTATAGAAGGCACATTAAGATGAAAATATGGAGGCACAGCCCTGAAAGTATAGGTACAATAGTTGTAAGCAAACCAATTACCAAGCCTATGAGGATCCAGGTTCGCCAATGTTCGGCTCCTTTCACAATCAGTTCCTCAAAAAGCTCTGAAAATGGATTACAGTACAGTCAACATACATGCCTGGCTATTACACAATCTAAGTAGAACAAATAAACTCTCCACGAACGTAGGCAAAACACAATGGCAAAACCAGCTCAAGAGAGAGATGGAAAAAGAATGAAACAAAAGAATATAAAGGGGGAGAGAAAAGGATGGGCTACTCGGGTTTCTTTGACAGTCTCTTCATCCTACTGAATGGCCCCACTGACCTGTCCATAATGTACATGTATATCACCTGGCTCCATGATTTATACGAATCTAATTCATTGTAGTATTCAGGTGCAATCTCCTTCACCTTGTAAAGCTTGTTTCCTGGGATCCTGGGGAAGTCATGGTGCTCATTATGGTAACCCACACTCCATGTAAGAAGATTAAGAGGACCGTAGTAAGAGTACGTCTCCTGTTTGGGATTGAAGACGTAATGTTCGGAAATGAAGTGACCAGCCATCGGATGCATCCCGCCACCGACGAAGGTGGAGAGAATCAGGTAAGCAAAAGTCTTCCAGCTCCAAAAGTAAACCATGGCAACATCAAGAGTTATCTGAATAAAGAAGTTGATGAACTCCCATCGGCCTGGGGGCTTTGGTTTTAGAAACAATGGCCGGAGAGCATAGAAGAAGAGTTGGAGGACAACCCATATAGCTTTTGAGACGACATTAGTCACCAGACGAGCTTCAGTCTGGCTTGGAACATCCATATCCATGCCATCCACTCCCTGGAAGCGATGGTGCTCTAGGTGATACTTCTGAAATGTGATGGACATGGGCACTCCAATGGGGAGATTAGCAAAAATCCCGAGCCACCTGTTGTGATCAGGTGTTGAAAAGGCAAGGTTGTGGCTGAGCTCGTGAATAGCTAAGAACAGATTGTGGTTCAGAAAAGAGCCAAAGAAGTAGGCTATTGCCAATATCTTTAACCAGTCTGCATTGTGAAGGGTCGTGGCAGTCCATAACTGAAGCAGAACAACCACAGAAATCTGCAAGATTGCAAGAATGAGAAGAACAAATGGATAACTTTATATTACAAGAACAAATTATTGATTGGTTTTTCAAACTCCAATAGCTAATTTCTAAGACTACAAGGTCACTTGTGAATGTGTAAAATGGTTGTTCACATTCTTCGTAACTTCACTTTCTTCATCAGATGAATCCAAATTATGATTCGGTGAGCAAACAACACAGGAAAATTCAATTTTAGACCTAAACAATCCTGAATCAAAGTTTGCATGATAGTTGAAACAGTAGGAAAGTTCAGACAAATGTTCATCAAGGAAAAATAAACAAACAAGCGATAGATGGAAAAAAAGGGGGAAAGATAGACTACAGGAATCTAGCATAAAAACTGAACCAGAGCAATAAGAACGACAAAATTTCAGAATCTCAGAATGTAGATTTTCGATCAATACAACTTGCGAGATGTAATCTGGTGGGGGAATAGAAAATGAAAAACAATGTCCAATGCAGCAATGTGGCAGAGGTAGCGTTCAAAATCAAACAGAACAACAAACAAACCCCGATCAGATTCAGACATTGACATGTGGTGCGACCAGCAATACCTCAATTCAGATCTACACACGAAATCAAAAAATCCTGACAAGAAAATGACAACGACTCTCCACATTCTCAGAATCAACAACAGTAAAATCATAGAGAAACAAATGAAACCTTGAACAAAGCCCACGGGTCAGGACCGAAGAGCTCCCGAATCTGAGGGTACTGCGAGAGAATTTGGCGTCTCCTTGAAGCGTGAGGCTCGTCGGTGTATGACCAGAAGAAGTCAGTGGCTATTACACCCTCATCTCTCTCTCCACCTCCTCGCATTGCCTCTGCTTGCGGCTGACCTTCGCTCCCGGAATATGCCTCGGCGGATTCTGTCTCTCCTGGCGGCTCCTGGCGCTGAAATTGGCTGTGGATTAAGGAGGAGAATGAAACGGTTACTTATACAGGAAACTGGTTGCAGAGGAATGGCCTGTAATTGAATTGAAGAAGACCGACCAAATATGAAAATGGAAATGGAGGAGACTGCTATATTTAGAGAAGGGCGCTCGTTTCGTTCGAGTGGACTCTGATTCATTCCGGCTGTACCCATCTTCCGATGCCTCCCAACTTGCCACCGTGGACAATGGATTCCTCTAAACCCTATTCTTTTTAAAAAAAATTATTAAATAATATTTTTAAACTTTTAATTTATTAGATACAAAATTTTAAACTCGTTTCTATAGACGAATTTAATTAAAGACTAAATTAATAAATAAAAAATATTCTCTTTTAAAAGTTTTAATAATATTTTAAAATTTTAAAATTAATTAATTTTAGATGAAATAAAATCATCGGTTAAAATTTTTCTAATTTCCTATTAAAAATTTAAAGATGTTATTGAAAGACATTTTTGAGTAAGAAAATATTTAGAATTTTTTTCTTTACATTTTAAATTTAGGACTGCATTATCTTTTTTGTTTCATTAATTAACTTTTACCAACATTACCATTAATTAAAACATTAAGTCTCTTTTCCAATTTTTGTGACAGGGACAATATGGGTATGTTCGACAAATCATTGTCATAGCTTTAGCTAGTCTGGCCACGTGGCTCCCACTTCCAGATAGAAAACACCTCATTTTTTTCAAATAATTTTGCAAACGGCTGAATTTATTTTCTAAAAAATTGGGTAATATGTGCCCTACCTTTTTTTTTCTTTTCTTTTCTCCATTATAATACTTTTAATATTTTTTTAATATTAGTGATGTTTTAATTTGGAAACTGAGTAATATTAGTTAGTTGAAATCAAATAAAATAGTTATAAAATAAGTAGGCATTTGTTGTTTTATAATAATTATAAAAATTATATTTATTCACCGTACATAAATTTAAATATCAAATATTTATAAGTTACAATCGTAGCTCACATCCTTATAAATATTAAATATTCTTAATAGTTTAAAAATATGATTGGATTACACTGTAAACACTATTTATTCTAACCCAATAAAAAAAATCTAATCCAATTGGTTTAAATTGGCAATTCTTCTTAAAAAAAATTATAAACCTATTGCTAGATCTTGGAAGATATATATATATATATATATTTTTTTTTCAAAATATCTTTTATGTTTACTGCTTTTATTGGTAAAGTTGTTCTGTCCAGTTGGGTTTATGGCGAATCAGTTTCAGATTTTTCCATTGATTTAGTTTCGAATTTGGTTGAACGATGTTCGTGTTCAATCCATATTGAGTTCCAGATCAAGATACTCCATAAGCTTTGAAATTTAGTGAATGTTTTCTTAAAAACACTTTAATCTATCCCGAAAAACGGCCAACATAGAAGCGAAGGTAACAGTTCCGGCGAGAGTTCCGTCCTCTTGAATCACCCACACATAGCAGACTCGGTGAGATAAAGCTTGAATCATCACTGCAACCAAAGAGTTCCATGGATAACAAACAATCGCCTCCGATCTCTTCACTACTCTCGCTGAATATCCACCAATCTTTCCACTTCTCCCCGAACAAGAACCAGAACAAGAACCAGAACCAGAACCAGATCCAAACTCGTCATCTGAAGAAGAGCAAATTGAAGACGATGATGATGAGACTGTTGATGATTCTTCCTCCACCCACTCCAAAACTGCATCTAAGTTTTTCTCTTCCAATCTTTCCTTCACTAATTGCACTAAATCATCCGGGGGGCCGCCACAGTCTATATACGCCATGAGTTCACCGGCTGTGAGAGTTGCAATAGCCGCCACCACCATCTCGTCGGAGAAATTGAGCGTGAAGGGCGAAATTTCGCCAATCAATTTCTCGTCGAAGTCAACAATGGCGACAGAGGATTGGTGAATCAGCGCTTGCGAGATTAGGGGGAGAATAGACAGAGCAGATTCATCGTAGTTTACGGCGAGAATGTTGTTGGTATCAATTATGTCGATGGAATTGATAGGAGTCGCGGCGGTAGAGCTGAAAAATCCGATTGAGTTGAGTAGGTAGCGGATTATGTCCTCCGCGCCGAGCCAGCAATATTCTCGATCGTTATGGAGAGCGGAGATGGAATTCGACGATGCTTTCATCAGGAAGTAATTTTTCCTCTTACTTGTGCTCATTTTGATTGGGATAACAAGCTTATGCACTCCATCGAGTATCAGATCGATCGCCTCCAGCAAGCTGAAAATTGCAAAAGAACGAACGTTAACAATCCATCACAGAGCAAAACCTAACTTCACAATTTAACGAACAATCGATTACCATTATCAATATCTAAATCAAATCAAGAATTTCAACTATTTCAATATTCAATCAAACCTGGCATGAGGCTCCAAATGCCTAACGAGTCCAAGTCCATCAGGAATCAAAACAGAGATCGGAGATCGAAGCGCAATCGCCGGTTGCAACAAATTCTCTTGTCTGCAGAGAAAACAGAGTATATCCACCATGCATACTTTACCAACGCATCGACAATGCAATTCCAAGTCGTCCTTAGAGGAGTGATCGCCACAGCTCCAGACGCTTATGTAGCCTTCGTCAATCCTCGTCAAGATCGATAACGCGTCGGCGACGGTGGCGGAGATGGATATGGATCGAAGCGCAGGCTTTCCAAGACATAGGTCAGATACCTCGCAGGCCAACAAGCTTGCTGCCATGCACGAGCAATGGAGAGAAATCGATGAAGGTACAGAAATGGCGGTTCCAAGACAGAGAGAGAGAGAGAGAGATAAATTCGGGTCGGGTCGGGTCGGATCGACGGGCGGATTTCCAATATAAAAAGACTTCGAGGGAATTATTTCAAATTTATAGGGCGAGATTTGTTGGCTATCCAAGGGGTGGCGCACGCGTTTTTAGTTTACCTTTTCTGATTTTTTCAATTCATAAAATAATTTTTTTAAAAAAAATTAATTTATCCATTTGGAGTAAAAAAAAATTCTTTTATTGTTAAAAAGAAATCCTCACGTTTTTCACATAAATTTAAGGTTAATTATGTGGAAGTTTTTTTGTACATAATTAATAGATATAATTGAAATTAATTTAAATAAATAAACAAATAAGTTAGAGAAAAAGAAAAAAACCAACCACAAAAGCAAGAATTCAGTTATAAAGGATGATCTATTTTATGAGATTTCGGATTTAAGATAAAATTATACGATAAAAATCATTTAAAGAGATGATTGCAACGCAATAATTACAACTGTGCCATGGAATTAAATCCTATATGGTCAACTGTCGTAATCATTGCGAAAATATAATCAATGATTGGTAAACACAAATCCATGTGCTGAATTAAGTCAAAGATTTTTATAAAAAATATAAAACAGATAATTATTTGGTATGGTACGGTACGGCTATTCGAAGCATATCCGTCCCTTCATAACAGTGAAAAGTCATTTCTGTTTTGAAGGGGTTATTTCTGTTTTTGTGAACACTATTAACACATTGTTATATAATCATTTCCCTCTTCCGTTACTCCATCCAATTTGAAAAACAAGGCCAAGGAGGGGTCCATATTGCTACCCAGTTGCTTCCTTCTGCCTGAAGGACAAACCATTTTTGCAATAATCTAACTAAAGAATGAGAATGGAGTACCGTAGGCATCTAATAAGAGCGTCTCTATCGAGCGTACGCTTGAGAACGAGTGTCGGGCTTGATCACTGGTTCCATGAGGCTGCTGAATTCCAGGAATGATGCAGGTCATGGGATGTTTACATCTCAGGGTCCTAAACAATGCAGGAAGTGAATAGTCTTGTAAAGACCAAATCAGTCAAGTCGAGACGTTCATTCCAGATCGATATAAATCTGCAGCCAAAAATGGATTTCATGAGTTTGGCAGCGAAGGTTTATACTTTATAATTTGAATAACGTTCCTCGATCAAAATGAGTAAATGAATTAGATTACAAGGTTTAATCAGAAACAGTAGAAAACCCCTCAAATATTGGGAAAACTTTCCAGTAATGATCACACTAATTTCATTGAAATATCAGGCAATAGAATACCTTTCTTTCATATTTTCACATATATGAGACATCCAAGCATTAGTAAAGACACAACATTCCAGAGCATTATGTAAATTATAGTGCCGGCACAAACACTAAATTATGCAAGGGATCTTAGAGGTCCACCCTAAGAAGCAGAAATATGGGGACAAGTCATTTCCTAAGAACAGTACCAAAAGATGTACAATAAAATGTATCATTGATAATTACTTCATATACTTTTACGCATATTATAAATGCTTTGAAATATAGTGAATTATGCGGTGTAAATATATTATAAATGCTTTAATCCTTATCAATTTGATTTAAGTACATTTAAATGCCATAAAGTATATCTCAGCTCTTTAAGGATAAGATACTGCCAAACAAAAGAAGAAATTCAAGTGTTCCACAAAACAAAAAGTATCTCCCCTAAAGGAAAACTTGCAACTCAAGCATTATTCTCACAGGATCAATCCCATACCACTCTATTGAGGTTAATCAAGTGAAATTATCTATTTTCGTTTATATAGTTTCAAAACCTTTTTGTTTTCTTATTTTATTTATTGCAGTTTCAAAAAAGAATCATCACTTTTCAATTTCTTTCTTATTTTTTCCGCACAGTAGGCTCTCCACGTGTCTTGATTGTTCCCTTACACATCCCCTACGTGTCTCCTCTGCATGTCCAAAGTTAATAAAATGAAAAGAACACTCCAAATAATGTGCTTTAACGCGTCCAACACGGACACTAGTCGAATAGCATCCATGCTCCCTAGTTGACATCTAATCCAATTCATTCAGAGTATTTTACCAATAATAGGTATCTCTCGACGAGAGACACCTAATATAGAAACTGCAAACGTGCCCAGACAAGATCTTGCATTCACGTGCAAGGAAATCAAAATGCTGCTATCAAATAAATAAGAAGAATTTAAACCTCTAGATCTGGCAAAGGGTGGTCATAGGATTTTTTCTCCCTTGTGTCGAAGACTTTAATGCCTGCGATTCTCTGAACTCCGGGTTTTGTGGCAATGAGGTTCTGGTTGAACAAAAGAAGTTAAATATTGTCAATATGATGGAGATTTAATGCTTTCTTCTCTATAGGACACCATTTTCAATGCATGTCTTTTGTGTTTAATTCATCACGAAAGAAACAAATTAGTTGCATGCTTTAATTAGAGCTAATGCCTAATTATGATGTGCAATAGAGAATAGACAGCAACTTTTTTGGCAATATAATTTTTTTAAAAATAAAATGTACGCCCAAAGAAAATATAAAGGTGGGTGTCGACTAAGCGTCATCAAAACAAGGTCCAACTCTCCAAGACGCTCACATGCATAGAATGGTACAATAAATGAAGAATTTTGTTATTTAATGAAATGCAATCACTTGCAGACTAACTCGTATCACAACCCATCATATAAATTTGTTGTTCATACCAGGTGGAAATCTGTGGAACCATGTGGCTCAACTCTTGGTATGACCTGTTGAAAATTACATGTACAAAAATGAGAAACACATTTATAAAATGGATGCATAAAGTTCTAATTCAAAGTTCTGGTTTCGGCAACCTTTCAACATGCCATCCCTCACCATTCCACAGATTTAAGAAACAAATTAATTGGTTAGCATTGCAGTGCGAAAGTTCAATATTTTGAACATAAGTATCTAAACACAAGTTAAACTAGAAAAGATACTTATGTTCGTGGCAATTGGATTGGTATAGGCACACCAAACGAAATTACACCAGATTCTAATACACGAATTACCAGAAATGATGAATTCTGATAAAAGGATTTGATACCATGATTAAGACAGGATGAGTGAACATACCATTGTCTGTAGACCATTAACCATAACAACTTTTTCCTCATCTGAACCATTTTGTGACATCCAAACCTCAAAAGGGCCCAATTCCCTCTCAATCTGTGTTGTGAGACGCATATGTAACTGAAGAAGCAATAAATCAATCAATTCCAAAATATTCTCTCTGGGAAAAGAGATTAGAAGATATGTATAATCCTCAGATTAAGAGGCAGAATTAAAGATGGATTCCAACCTCGTTTGGAAAATGACTAAATAATTTTAATCTTATCCAACTTTTTAGATGAACTTTTCAGAAGAACACAATAACAAAAGAGAAATTACAGTAAAAGGCCTCTCCAATCTGATAACATCTGGCATCTCAACAACATGCAGCTCAAGCTCCTTGCGAATAATGGGCTGCAAAACAGCATAAATGACCAATGAGAGAAATATCGGCTAATAAATCTCAAAATCATAATAATACATTAAATCACCCTTGACCTCAAAAGTTCTAAGTTGATGGGTTATAAAAATTTAATTTCTTACGTTCTCCCTCTGTAGACTTAGAAATTAGCACAAAAGCCAACAAGTCAATAGGGAAGGAAATGATAAGAACATTCGAACACATGACCTCCTCCTACGTTTAATTTTGATTATGCTGAATCTAAAAACTTAAGCTAATGAGTTATGATAAATTAACTGAATCAGCTCATACTATATTAAATCATCACTAAACTCAAAAGCTTAAGTTCAAATTAAGGTAAATTTAGTTTCTTAAATAAGGTAAAAAGTACTGATTTATAGCATTTGCAAAGCATATCATGCAAACACACAAGCTATAATAACATGTAGCTAATAGATGACATCAACATCATTTTTTTGTGCATCCATAGTTTAAAATTTCTAATATTTTTTCTCTATACGAAAAACTTCAGTGTTCAGCCTACGCATAACTATGTTCTAAATATGATATTATACTCAGTAAACAATCTTCCATGCACTTATCAACCATCTTTCAGGATTCATCTGAGGCATTCGACAGGGACCGCAGGGTAATAAAAGTGTAAGATCAAAGCAAGGTTTAACTGAAATAAAAAAAAATCTTGAAATCATGTGATAAACAGGCATCAGTAAAAATTTCAGAAGCTACAAAACAAAAGAATCGTGTCACAATTGGAAACCATTTCCACAACTTACAGAATGGATACCAGAATTTTAACACGATTTAAAACTTAACATTCCATAGGCAGTAGTCAATTGATAAGGCGAAGATAATTCCTCTGCAGCACGCAAGAGGTAGCTTACCAGTAACCAAAAACAACAAAAATCCATATAATTGAATTTATTTTTAAATTATTATATGATGATAAGCACTCACAGAACCCAAAATCTGTTGCGTTTGTAGCCGTCCAGGTTCACCCATATTTGTACGCCATGTTAACTGAAGTTTACCAAGAATATTACTTCCCTCAACTTTCCGAGGAGAAGAACCATGCGTTGAAAATTTCAATTGATAAAGAAAATTATGGATTCCTCCACCTGATCTGACCAATATAGGAGGCTTGAATACCTCTCTGCAGCATAAAAATTAACATAAGCTTGACTATGAGGGAAAAAATAAATAGAAAAATAACTAACCATGACGGTAAATTCATGGCATGAATAGCACGATTATCAATTATTTAATATCACTGAGTTGACAAATGATCAATACCTTGTTGTAGATTTAAGTTCAGAGCGATGTTCATCAGCATTGATTATCACTGCATTCCAGTTTGGGGAAGGCTCAAAATCAACTTGGTCCATTAATAGATTTGATTTTGTATGGTTTTCAATGCAAGCTTCTAAGAATGTACTCTCCTGAGATAGAAAGAAAACTATCATTTGATAGCTTTCACCAAGGAAGTGCTATCTTAATGAAATTTTCAAACACGGGAAAACTGGAATCGAAAAGTACAGTAGCATCGAAAAGTACAGTAGCATCTAAAAGTACATGGAACCACTATTAATTCTTTATACGACCAAGATCTAGAATCCAGCATAACTATAGGGTCATAGAATAGAAAACTACTGAGTAGGAGCTGAGAGTACTGTGCTATATCAACACAAGTCGTCCTACAAAATATTAAAGAAGAAAGAGGGTTTTCAGAGAACCAAGATAAAAAGGAATACTTTTAGGATGTAAAACAATATGCTATAATCGAATTCAAAGATTTACTATGATATATAAAAGCAATAGATATAGGTCAACTACGATAGTTATGAGACATTTTCTAAACTTACGTTGACTGTTTTTAGTCAGCAAAACATACCTTCACAACACGGACCTGCAGATGAAGTAATTTGAAAAATATCAGATATTAATCCAGAACTAAGCAACCAAAGCCACTGAAAGCTTTCATAAAATTCATAGAAGGCGAAAAGAAAAGGGCCACTGAAGCAAAGATGTCCGTATAATAATAGTTGTGTGTCTAAAATTGTAGGATCCGAAGAGCATATTACCTTTGTTCTGACCGAGAGTGGATTCGCAACCATGAACTTGAAAAACTGTGGTAGATATTTACGCTCACCATCACCATCATTGTACAATGCGGTGCAGACTAGCCTATAAGAATGAAATAAAGCATCACTTATACGTACTTAACTAACAAGGAGATTCTCACTTAACTAACAAGGAGATTCTTACGTGTGACTTCCGAGTTCCTTCACATCGTGTTCGACGATGAAGTCGTAACGACCCCCAGCACGTATAGTTTCAACAGGGGATTTTGATGAATCCAGAAGAAGGATTCTCTGCCTCTCCGTTTGAATTTCTGCCTGTACAGAAAGCTCGTCTACCACAAATCAGATTGGATGAAGCAGGCCAATTTCTCTAAGTTATAAAAGGAAAACACTCCTAACGCCTAAAAGGAAGGAACACCGACCTTGATAATAACGTCCCTGACTTCAAAATCGGAGCTATTATTCACACTGATATAGCTACAGAAAGTCTCGCCTAAATAAATCGCCCTGGAAGATAATCACCATTCATGCCCCCAACAATGAACAAAAGAAAGATCCGAATAGATCAATTCATCCACAGAATGAAAGAAGAAAGGGGCAGAGAAATAGAAAAAAACCCGAAAGCTTGAGGAAGTACGAGGAGACCAGTGAGACCCATAGCATCCGAGGAGTCATGAAGAAGGAATCTGGAACTGTAGCTGGGATCGGAGTCGGATTCGTCGGACAATTGGGCTTCAAGGAGACGAGGGAGTTGGCGAGCAGCCACAGGATCGTCAAAAATGTCCTCGTCAGCGACTAAATCGACCGGATCGAGGCGGAGAGGAGAATCAACTTGAAATGACGGCCTACAGAGCCTCATCACCCTGAAGGCCAGTGAATGCGATCCCTGAGCACCGTTCATCTTGCTTGTTCTCTGTGGAACACAGAATCGCAAAGAGAAAGGGAAGTAACGGAAGTTGGCAGAAAGCCCGGCGCGAAATCTCAGCAATGGAGTTGAGACGAATCCAAAAATGACGACATGTCGACCCTCCTTATGCAACTGTCAGACAATTCCCTAGTCGATTTATCGTATCCCTCAACTTTTTTTTTTAGGTTAAATATATGAACCTACGGGTAATTTTCACTCTAATTTTCCATCTTCCCAAATTTTTAAATTTACCTGTAATATATTTATATTTCTGAATAATTGGACAGATGGACCTATGTTTTTTTTTTTTATATTTTTTTTTTTTTTGTATATTTTAATTTCTACATTTTTTTCAAGTAAGATTTGAGTATTATTTATAAGAAGGAAAAAAAATATTTGAACTTACTCACATTTAAAAACATATATATATATGAGAGGAATATATATATATATATATGAGAACCTCTCCAAGAGAGTTCCTCGACGTAACATTTTAGATTCAATTAAGACTATATAACCAAAATTTAGATTCAATTAAGACTATAACCAAAACTCACCGCTATCAGATATTATTCTTTTTGAGTTTCCACACCTTTATAAAGAATGTTTCATTTCCCTCTCCAACCGATCATTCTTCTTGGGTTTCCACACCTTTATAAAGAATGTTGATTCGATGTGGGATCTCACAATCCACCCATTTTGGGACCCAAAGTCCTCGTTGACACACCAATATGTCTGCCTTTGATACTATTTGCACCAGCTCAAGCCCACTGCTAGCAGATATTGTTCTCTATATGTTTTCTATTTCGAACTTTCTCTCAAGATTTTTAATACGTGTCTACTAGGAAAAGATTTCCACACCCTATTAAAAAAATATTTTGTTCCCTTTTCCGACTGTGTGATCTCACAAAAACACTCTAAAACACATTTAAGTGAGGTATCAATTATCTATTAGTTAAATAATTAAAAAAAATAAATTAATTATAAAAAACAAAAAATAAAAATAAATAAATAATAAATAAACTATGCTGAAGCCTGCATATTAGAAGCTTTTAATGAGGGATGTCATCCCTTCTCATGAATCATGAGGGTAGCAAGTAAATGGAATCGTACTGTTCTGTTCAAATAATCTATGCAAAAATTCATTTTTGTAGCGTCTATTTCAACACAAGTCATGCATGCCACTGTCATCTCGGTGGTGCATAATATTATCAATTATACGTACAACTGCAGCCTAAGAAGGCTTTCAGGCTTTCAGGCTTCCATCGTCTATCTCCATGCTCGACTCTTCTGAAACAACACTGGTCTACCATGTACAAAACTAAAATACTCTGCCTCAGCTACAAAACTAAACTGATAGCAATGAATCAGGTAGATACTTCCCATGAAATTAACTAATATCTTGCCTTCTAAGCTGGACATTCTTTTTGTTATTGGTCACTGTACTGAGAATTTTTATGAACAAGACAATGGCACTCGTCAAGCTCCCCATACGCAAGAGAAACTCCAACCTGTAATTTCAAAGAGGTAGAAAATTAAGGGTGGAGAACCAAAGAGCAACAAAACTGTAGGGTGCATATCTTCTGCAATTGATAATTTCTCAATAAGAATAAAAACTTTTATTGGTTGTACAGAGTGTATTGGCTGGAGAAAACAAATGAAAGGGAAAGTCACGCACACCTCTAATTTGTGTATCAGGCACAAAACACACGTAAAAGATGACACTTTCAACAGTTTCATTTATTTCCATCAAGAATTTGAAAAATAGAACAGGGAAGGAAACAGGATTCCCCTACATCCATATTTCCTCTCATAACCTATCAAACAAAAAAGAGAGCCATAATCATTAATCCCTCAATCTGCTACTCAAATTATATTAGTAATTATGGCACATTTTCATTTAACCAATGGCATTTAGGACAGCTACTTAGTTCAAAATAATCAGGACTTTCAGTTAATGGGGCTCCTTCAGTCTCTTCTGATGTCTATTCAATAGCTACTTTCTACTTTCTAATTCCCTTTCTATTTATCTTCTAGAGGCAGAATAAAGAGTTAGAAGACCAGATAGTACCCAACTTCCCGGAGGTTAATTTCAATAACAGCGTGGAAACTGGAAAGTTTAACTATTTTCCAAATTAGAAAATTCAGAGAACAGAAAATCAAATAAACATACCTTATGGTGAGATGAACTGGCACATGCAGCGCTAAACAAGGTGAAATGTAGTTCATCGTCTAACTCGTGCAACTGTATCCCCTATCTGATGTAACCGTATTTTATCAAATGAAGCAATTTGATTGCATGAACTTAAGCCTTAGTTCAACATTGAGGAAAGGACATTTTAAAATTTTGGTCTGCAAAATTATAAATGACACAATGAACATCACTGATGAAAGTGAGTATTGCGACCCTATTGTTGAAGCCAGGGTTGTACATGGCAAGGCATAACTATACAACTCGAACCCATGTTCCACCACACATTGGGCATCCATAAGCCCATCGGCTAATCCACCAAGTCTCCCTCTCGTTTTGAGTAGTATCATTAGTAGCACCAGGTGAAGCAAAGGCCGATGTCTGCCTCAAACATCTCATGCACTGCAAATCACAAAGTCGGAAGATTCACAATGAATACAACACAAAGATTAGCAACGCATAGTCTGTAGAAGTAGTCAATCCTTCTAAATTTAAAGTAATACACCATAAACATGACGCCATTTAAATCTAGAAGCATGTTACAGCAAACTGATATTATTGCAAAATAACTCATTGGCTTCTGCTTCCTAGAGTTGAATAAATTTTAAAAATACTGACACAATTTAAGCGAAAAAAAAAATGAATCCTTTTTATTTAACTAAATATGTACGAGATTTTGGAATGTAAATTTTATTGTCTTCAACCAATCAATGTCTCTCAAAGTCTCTATGCTTCAAAAGAAACGTCACTGTACTTGAATCATTGAAATAATATGAGAGGAGTAACAAGGGAACTACATATCGGACCTTATACCAAACCCCTTCAAGACCAGTCTTCCAGACAGCAGTCACAACGTCTCTTCGAGATCCCATTATACCTAGGTATGCTCCGAGACCAATGGACGTATTCAAGCCAAAAGCAGCATCTCTTTCAGACATCCTGCGCTTCCTAGGCCACAAACCATTAGCTCCATAATAAACATTGCAATTTTCCAGTGAGTTGAGATCAAGTGGATCTGACGAATTACTAAGCTTGGAATTATCGTCTGTGGATCCCAAATCATCTACATCAGACCAAGGCCCACCATACATATTCCGCCTGTGCCATTCTTCAGCTGGAGGGTGGAGTTCTAATTCCCGAAGCAACAGACCAGCAGCATCTGCACCTCTAGGCCGGGGCATATTCTATGCAGCCCAGACCATCAGAAGGAAAATTATTATTATTATTTTGTGGGGGGGGGGGGGGGGGGGG